ATGCAGATATATTTCACCCCTCATCCAGGTGAACACATAGTCATCTGGTTGCTCTGATGCTGGGACAATGGTGCTTATGGTCACGAACTAGAAGGTAGGGAAGCCAAGCATCTGGGATCCTTCCTAGGGAAGGAGCAATTAATAAAGCGATTGTAAAGGAGAAATGGTCCCTCAGCCTTTGGAGGTGGCTCCTGGCAGCTGTGAAGGAAAGGTTTCCTTAAAAGGACAGCGTTATGAGTTGTTCCTCCAAGTGGGCCATGATAGAGAAAAATACCCAGTTTCTGAGGGAATCAGCCATTCTAGAGGTGATCTATCATAGGCTGGATGCCGGGAATGCATGTCTAGATCAAGATGAAGTCAAATGTATGCAACCCATGCCCCAAAGTCTAATGGTGAGTGGAGTCTAACAGTAGACTATCGTGGCCTGAATAAAGTCACACCACCATTGAGTACTGCTGTATTAGACATGCTAGAACTTCAATATGAACAGAAGTCAAAGGCAGCTAAGTGGGATGACAGAATTGATATTCCCAGTGCATTTTTCTCAAATCCTTTGGCAATAGAGTGCAGGCCACAGTAGGCTTTTACTGGGAGGGGTGCCCAGTACACTTGAAACCAAATGCCACAGAGGTGGAAACAAGCCTACCATTTGCCATGGAGTGATCCAAACTGCACTGGAACAAGCTCCAGAATACCTGCAATGTATTGATGACATTATTGTGTGGGGCAATACAGTCAGAGAACTTTCTGAGAAAGGAAGGAAAATAATCCAAATCTTGATGGAAGACTGTTTTGCCATAAAACACTTCAAGGTAAAGGTACCTGCATAGGAGATTCAATTTTTGGGAATAAAATGGGAAGACGGGTGTCACCAGATGGCTGCAGATGCAATTAACAAGGTAATGGCAATGTCTCCACAAACTAATAAGAAACACAAGCTTTCTTATGTGTTGTGGGGGTCTGGAGAATGCGCATCTCAAATTACAGTTTGTTTGTAAGCCTTCTCTATCATGTGACCTGGAAGAAGGATTTCAAATGGGGCCCTGAGCAACAACAAGCCTTTGAGCAAATTAAATGAGAGATAGTTCATGCAGTAACCCTTAGACCAGTCTGGACCAGACTAGATGTAAAAAATGTACTCTACACCACAGTTGGGGAGAATGGTCCTACCTGGAGCCTCTGCTCTGGCAGAAAGCTCTAGGGGAGACTTGAGATTGACCCTTTGGCTTTTGGAGTTGGGGATAAAAAGGATCTGAAGCCAGCTACACCCCAACTGAGGAAGAGGTACTGGCAGCCTATGAAGGGGTTTGAGCTGCTTCAGAAGTGATTGGCACTGAAGCACAGCTCCTTTTGGCACCCAGGTTGCCCATGCTGGGCTGGGTGTTCACAGGCAGTGTCTCCTCTACACATCATGCAACCAATGCTACATGGAGTAAGTGGGCTGCACTAATTACACAAGCTTGAGTAGGAAATTCCAGTCATCAAGGAATTTTTTAGTCATCCTAGACTGGCCAAAGGGCAAAGACTTCGGAATGTCACCAGAGGAGGAGGTGATGCATGTTGAGGAGGCCCCACCATATAAAAGAAACTGTCAGAAAGTGAAAAGCAATATGCCTTGTTTACTGATGGGTCCTGCTGTATTTTGGGAAAGCATTGGAGATGGAAGGCAGCTGTATGGAGTCCTCAACGACAAGTTGCAGAAACTGCTGAAGGAGAGGGTGAATCGAGTCAATTTGCAGAGGTGAAAGCCATCCAGCTGGCCTTGGACATTGCTGAACTAGAAAAGTGGCCAGTACTTTATCTCTCTACTGACTTATGGATGGTGGCAAATGCCCTGTGGGGGTGATTGCAGCAATGGACAGTCTAGGTTATTCCTGCTTTAGGGAAAGGCAAACCCACTCATGGGATTGCCTTCATTAGGGACTTGGATATACTTAGTGGGTAATGACAGAAGATGGCAAAGTCCAATTTGTACTTTGAGGGGATTTGATTTAAGGGGGAAACAGCCAATGAACTCAATTGTATGCTGTTGCCTGCTATGTAGCACTTTTATAGCCCACCAATTAGATGTCTAGAGATCACCAGCGACTGGTCCTGACTTCCCTTGGACCATCATCTCAACAAAGAATGAACTTTGTGGAAACCAGACACCTTCCTCAGTGTCATCAGCAGACAACAATCCAACACTGTACTGTCTCTCCTGCTCTGAAAGACCATCACAAGAGATGGAGCCTGACATCATGGACCGAATAGACTCAGCAGCATTATAGGGATTGGTCCATGCATTAAGGAATGATCTCTCTCTGTGTGTGTGTGTGTGTATGCATGCGTGTGTGTATATATATCTGTGAGACAAGATTGATGGTATATTGAAAAACGTGGACTCAGAGTATGACGTGAATGGTATGGAATAAGGGGTGGATACTCTCTTGGGTTCTGCAATAGCAGTTGTTTTTCTCCTTTTTTAGTAGCTGGTGCAGTGCTGTGCTTTTGACTTTCAGCCTGGGAATAAGGCTGATAACACAGTTGCGTTTAGTTGTTGCTAAGTAATATTTACTCTGACCAAGGACTTTCTGAGTCTTATGCCCTGCCAGGGAGGAGGGGAAGCCAGGAGGAAGCAGAGGCAGGACACCTGACCCAAACTAACCAAAGCTGTATTCCATACCGCATCATGTCATGCCCAGTTACATATTCTCCAGCCTATCCTTAACATAAAGGGCAACTCCCCCTCCCCCCCCAGCTGTCCCTGTCTTTTCTAAAGAGCCTGTAACCTTCCATTCCAAAGCTCCAGTCATAGGAGCTGTCCCACCATGTTTCTTTAATACTGATGATACCACATATCCATAGATGTGCACATATCTGTAATTTCTCTTGTTTGCTCTTCATACTACATTGCTGTGAGCATTTATTATAGGTGCTAGCAACTGGCTGTGTGTTAAGATAGAATGATGCCCCCCCTCCCCCAACATGTCTAGTTTAAAGCATCCTTGACCAGTCTGGCAAGCCTCCTACCAAAACTGCTCTTCCTGTTCACTGTCAGACCAGCTCCACCAGCCCCCGGTAGACTTGGCTTCCTGAATTGAGTCCCATGTTCTAGATACCCAAACCCTTCTATGGCACCACCCTTCTAACCATTTATTAACCTGGTCAATCCTCCTAGCCCTTTTAAGGTCCTCCTCTTTATCCTGGAGATTTGATGAAAAGACTGTCTGAGCTCCAGAGCCCCTAACTACCTCTCCCAGGGCTCTGTAGTCCTTAATGTTCTCCGGGCTACTGCTATCTATATCGCTAGCACCCACATGGATCACTAGAAGTGGGTAATAGTCTGCGGGACTTACTAGAGCAGACAGTCTCTCAGCAACATCCCTGATCCGAGCCCCTGGTAGGCAACATGCCTCCCTTGAGAGTGGGTTAGGCTGACAGATGGGTGCCTCTGTCCCTTTCAAAGTAGAGTTCCCTATTACCTGCTGCTTTTTCTTGGTGGCACCAGTAGTGATCCTCTTTACCGCTGCATTAGCTGGTTGTTTGTGTGGTGAGGTGTGTTTCCTTGTTAGCCCCCTGCAGAACTGCAAAACAGTTCTGGGTGGGGGCATCAGGTTTAGGAGGAAGCCCCTTGTTTTTAATTGTTCTCTTCCTCCTTTTTTTTTTTTTTTTTGTTGTTGTTACTAGTTCCCAGCTTCCCGAGTTAATGACTTCCTTTACTGCATGAGCTACTGTGTGTGCTTGAGGCCCCTGTACAGTTTTAGGCTTGCAAGCAGTCCTGCTTCCTCTCAGCCTGAACATTAAGATCTTAAGCTCCTTTCCAACCCTAACTATTCTATGATTCTAAGGCAAAGTGCCATGACCTGCACTTGGACCACAAGAACCTCATGCAACACCACAGGCTCAGGGAAGAGTGGCTAGAAGGCTGCTCATGGAAAAGAACCTGGGGGTGCTGATTGATGAAGCTGAACATGAGCCAGCTTGTGTCCAGGCAGCCAAGAAGGCTAGCAGTATCCTAGCCTGTATCAGCAGTCATCCCCCTGTACTGCACTGGTGAGGCTGCACCTCAAATCCTGTCTTCAGTTCTGGGCCCCTCACTAAAAGAGAGACATTGAGGTGCTGGAGCAGGTCCAGAGAAGGGCAACAAAGCTGGTGAAGGGTCTGAAGCACAAGTCTGATGAGGAATGGCTGAGGGAAGTGGTAGTGTTGAGTCTGGAGAAGAGAAGGCCCAGGGTGTACCTTACTGTTCTCTATAACTACCTGTGATACTGTGAAAGGAGGTTGTAGTGAGGTGGGGGTTGGTCTCTTTTCCCAAGTAATAAGTGATAGGACAAGAGATAAAGGCCTCAAGCTGTGCCAGGGAGGTTTAGATTGGATATTAGGAACAATTTCTTCACAGCAAGGGTGATCAGGTGTTGGAACAAGCTGCCCAGGGAAGTAGTAGAGTCACTGTACCTGGAAGTGTTCAGAAACGGTGTAGATAAGCCCCTCAGTGATATGGTTTAATGGTGGTCTTGGCAGTCCTGGGGTAATAGTTGGACTTGATGATCTTAAAGGTCTATTCCAGCCTAATTGATTCTATGAAACTCATGTAGTCCTTGATTCACAGGTATTACAGACCAGACTTTGTTGATGTTCATATTGCTATAATCTTCAGAAAGTATTAACTTTGCAAAAAATCTGCTTTGTTGCTTCCCCTTATCACAAAATAGTCAAAATAATCAATGTGAGTGATAGTGTAAGTGATGTCTCAGTGAGAAATAGGTCTTTCTGCTTGATTTTTTTTTTTTAACTGTCATTTCTAAGATGAAATGACTGTTTATGTCTGAGCAGTTGATAATAACAGAGACAATGCTGCCTCTTTGTGTTTGATTTGTTGGGGTTTTTTATTTTGTTTTTTAGGGGGTGTTTTTTTAATGGTTGAAAAAATTTTATTTTTCATTTTCTGAAGTATATTTGAAGCCTTTTTTGTTGAATGTAGGATTTTTATTTTTTTTCCTGCCTTCCCAATTTTGCAGTTCGCTCCTTTGGTACAGAGGATAGACCAACTGATAGACCTATACCACGCCGTGATGAAGTCTTTGAGTATATTATATTCCGTGGCAGTGACATTAAAGATTTGACTGTCTGTGAGCCACCAAAGCCCCAGTGTTCTTTGCCACAGGACCCTGCTATTGTTCAGGTAAATAAAAGCATATTTTTAGATGTTTGTTGCTGTTATAACCTGGTAGCTTTAAGTGCTCTCTAGCTGAGTGTTTAAAAAATAAAATGTTTGTTGCTGTAAAGTTCACAACCCAATGTAAAGAACTGTGGAAAGACTTTGTTCTTTTGAATCATGTCTTTTAACTGTGAAAATTAAGGTTGAAATCTAATTATAGCCCAAAGCACTGTTTTTTGTCAGTTTTTCCTAAAATGACTAATGACTTTTGGTAGACACTGATGCCTTTTCTAAAAGATACTGGGCTTAGGCGGACATGTGTGTGAGACTTGGTGGAAAGATCAGGCTTAGTATAAGTCAAATGGAATAGAAGCTGAGATCTCTCCAAATCATTAGTGATTTATTTTGTTTGTTTGGGGGTTTTTGTATTTTTTTTTTTTTTTCATGTTTGTCTTTTTTTGCTGACTGGCTCTAAAAAGTGTTTCATCTAGCTAGGTGTTTTTAAAAAGGCTTCATACTAAAGGGCAATTACCTAAAAAAGGAATACTTTGTTGCTTGAGAAAGCAAATTACAACTTGAAGCCTTCAAGGTTAATCTGTTACTTTGTAGTAAATGGACTGATGGGGCTAGTTATTTTTGATTATTGAAGTTTGTTGGTGTACTGATTGTTTGTGGGGTCTCTTAAAAATCACCCCTGAGAGCAAAATGGAAGTTCTTGGTTTAAATGAAACTTTGTAATTCTGTTTAAGTGATTGCATTTCTAATGTTCAGCTATTCCATAAGATAAAATTCTTGATGCTTCCTTAAAAAGTACCCTTGCAGTCCTCTGAGGTCTTTTGCTAAATGTGATGTAACTTCTTTTGTCAGTGGGGGTTAAGAGCTGTGAAATAGCATTACTGCCAACCCCAATAATAGTAATAACCCTGATTTTCTCTAGTATGATTGGGTCATTTGTTATTCATGTGATATTTGAAACTTCAGGGAAAAAGTTAAGGCATTTTCCAAACTTGCTGACAAAAGCTTATATGCACGTTCCTGTGTAACCTTATCTAGGTGTTCCTGCTCCGGCAGGGGGATTGGACTAGATGATCTTTTGAGGTCCCTTCCAATCTCTAACCTACTGTGATACTGTGATACTGTGATGTCTGACGAAAGAGTTAGTATCTGAGGTTTTAGGGAAAAAAATGCATAATTTTATGGTACTGTTTTCACAAGTTTGTGATCTTGGAAAGGTAAAAGTACTTTCTAAACTGTGTAATACTTGTGAAAATGCTTTCTGCTAACTGTTGTCTGTTACAAGTTTTCATACAGAGTAATGTGTATAATTCAAATATTTTTTTTGTTCTGTTTTCACTTGTGTTAAAGTGGCTACATTCTTGATATTTAAAGAAGCAACTTTGAGTGTTGAGGTCTTGTACATGTATTAGCCACAGTGGTAGGGTAAATTTAAAAAAGTGTTAATTTTGGCATTTCTTGCCCTGCAGAATTATTTCTTTTTCTGTAAACATGACTTTCTGCAAGTGTTTTGTGTTTAGTCTTCATTAGGATCTTCGACTGCATCTTCATTCCAGAATGTGGGGTCCTATGGTTCTTTTGGGAGAATGCCTGCTTACAGTCAGTTTAGTCCAAGCCTGCTGGTGGGGCAGCAGTTCAGTGCTGTTGGAGTTGGTATGTTGCTTTTTATTATTTGGTGTTTTCCTATAAGTCAAGTTGCATATGTGTACATAGACAGTAATCAGTGTTACAATTTCATCTGTCTTTCCCTAAAGGCAGATCAAAAGTCTTCAATCTGTATTAGTCCCACAATTTAGCTCAAAAGTAGAGTGTCTTTCATAGAAACTTACATTCCTGTAACTCTTGTGGTGTCATCATTACTCCTGGTACTGAAAATGTTAGCCAGGTGAAAGGAAGCCTGTAGAACTGACCATAACTTGACATCAGTTAATAAGATGTGACAGTCATATTTCTGCTTAAAATATGTTACATGGAAATATATACTAATACTGTTCGTTACTCTGTAAGATGATATCATGACTATGTTATGTTAACACTTGTGACATAAAAGCAGTGGGTGGTTTTTTTTGGGTGATATTTTTGGGGGTTGTTCTTGTTTTGTGTGTGGTGGGTGCTTTTTTGTGTTGTTTTCTTTTATAAAAACTATCAAAATATTAGTCTTGCCACCTTTCTATGAATACATGTATCACGTTATTCTTAAATTGTATGGGAAGGGCAGGTTTTATGTGTATTCTATAACTGCCTTATATGACTTCACTAATCATTTAGTGCTTATTAAAAGAAAAAGCAAAAAAAAAAAAAACCCAGAAAAAAAAGTCTAAACCAAGTTTTACAACTATATTATTTCTTTCAAAGCAGGAGATTCTTTAACATCTTTTGGAACAGATTCTTCAGCCAGCAGTAGCATGTCCCAAAGCACTGCAGTTGGTTCTGCATTTACAACAGATCCAAGATCACTAAAACCACAAATGTCTCAAGGTAGATCTTTTTTAATAACTCTGATCATTTTTGACCAATTGTGTCCCTGTGACTTAGGTGGTTGCCAGAAATGCTAACTAAACAGTTGAAGCCTGTTATGAAACACTTGATATTGAAACCAGAAAGCACTGAGAGGCTTTGCACTTCTTTAAAAGTATTTTCCTATCTTGGTGTGCTATAGGTAACTTAGCAACACATTTGGTTTTCTCCTTAAAGCATCTATATTGAAGAGTAGGACTTAATTCCATTGAATACTGTTAGCAAATAAGTGTATATGGAAATTCAGTATCTGGTTTTATTGCTGACATGACAAAAGTCAAGATACTTCATGCTGACTGAATTGTGAAGTCCTTTAGCCTACAATTTTAAATTCTTTATTAATGTATATTTATATAAATATTAACAACAGACCTGATTGTCTGTAGAGAAAGTGACATGGCAGTTAAGTCAGCTTAATAGTAATAGAATGTATGGGTAGTTTGTGTAATACTGGAAAAAAAGTAGAAGCAAAAAGGAAATTCTTTATGCTTGTTGAGTGGCAAAGAAAAAATAAACTAAATGTTGAGCACCTTCACCCTCACTTTTCATGCAGATGTTTTCCTTGCTTCTCAAAATACCAAAGACATTGTTTCCTGCTCTTCCACTCTTCATTGCTGCTTGTAAAAAATGTGTGCTAAGTTATATTCCTAATGGTATTTTAAAGTTTATGCAGTTGTGTTAAAAGGCAAAGCACTTACAGCAAACAGGGTTTTTCCTGACTTCTACTTGAGATTTGTTATGCCAATTAGGACTACTTTCTGGGGTTAGTTGAGGGGATTGCTAAAAAGAAGTTCTACTTTGTTGCATTAATTGAAGGGGGGGAAGTATGTTGCGCATTTACTGTTTCGCTGTTGAAGAGAGTAGCTTGGGTTTCTGTAGGTGAAATTAAAACCTGTATGATCCTTGGACTTAATGTATGACACATGCTCCAGATGAACGTATGTTCTGCCACCAAACCTCCTGTGGGCACCAATAAGTTTTTTACCTCTGTTTTTTGCTTTTAAAAATATTTGTCATCTTCATAGATTGCAAGTGTGTGGTCTGTTTGTTGGGTGTGGTGGATTTTTGTTTGGTTGATTTTTTTTTTTTATTGTGGTTGTTTTGTTTAGTTTTTAGGTTTTTTAGACTAGGGGGATGGGAATTGCTGAATGTTCTTCATTCTGGATTAGTGGATCTGAGGGTACAGAGGTACAGAAATATTTATTTCTTTCTTGGGCACAGCTGTCTTGACTGTAAGGCAGATAAATCTGTCAGTCTAGATTGGTTGAGACTATTAACTCAAATTTGTACATGAGAAATAACTCTTTGGGTTTTGGTTTTGTTTTGTCTTTGTCCCAGGTCGTTCAAGCCCTCAGATAGATCATTTGAGAAGGAGCCCCACCATGGAACAAACAGTACAAACAGCTTCAGCCCACTTGCCTACTCCAGCACCAGTTGGGAGGAGGAGTCCTGTACCAACCAGGCCTTTGATGTCTGGTAGCCAAAAATCACTAGAGAATCAGGAGCACAGGCGAGGTAGCTTTGAATAATTTGGCTTATTTTTTAACATACATGTATGAAGTGTTCTTTTTAAGGTTAACGTGTAGGAATTTTCTTGCTGTCCATTACTGGTTGACTGGCAGGCAGAGTCCTGAATTATGTATTTTTCTTTTTGAAGTCAAGCATGTATTCTAAATATTTAGGTTTTTTTTCTTACAAGTTAAACTTGTGGTTTTACTTTTTATAGGTTTGGATTTTTTTTTAAAATCTGAACTATATACCTATATACAAAAGTATGGTCAAAAATACCTTATTGGATAAACAAATAATATTTTATTTCCAGCTTTAGCTGAATTACACAAGGCTTCAATATCAGAAAGTGAACTCGGAAATGAAAACAAATGACAAATTGGTAAATCTTATTCTGAGAAATAGCAATCATTGTTTCCAGACTCCATTAAGTTCTGTAAAAGTCTGCTAACATGCATTATTGTGTAGTTTGCCAAGCATTAGGACTTTGTTTCTAACAGCTAGAGAACTTGCAGTTTGGATTACAGTAGTAAAATTCATGGATTTAGAATTATTTCACATAATTGTTTCTAGCAGATAACAGTAACTTTGCATTGAGTCAGAATCATACAAGCACAAAGAGTCAACATTAAAGAGAAAAATCTTTTCTGATTGCTCCCTATTAAGCAGTTTGAATAAAAATGCAAACCCAAGCAGTATTCATGGATTTATAAACACAATAGCATGAAATAAAACCTGTCACCTTTCTACAAAAATACTGGACAGAAATGCCACTAACATTTTAACTCTTCTTCAAAAGCTTTATGATTTCTATGATGTCTTTTAGTACCCAACTTTAGTACCATTATGCTCTGGGTGTTACTCCCATAATTGCTGTAAGTGAATTTGCAAATTACAAGCTGCTTCAACAGGACTTATAACAAAAGTGCAGGAAGAGGATGCATGGAGTCCCAGCCTGTTAACCCAGGAATTTAAAAAGCAAACCAAAACACCAACCCCCCCCCACCCTCAAAGATAAAACAATCCACAAACAAACTAAACAGAATTTCTCTCTTTTCAGTTCCAGGTGGACTTGCAGCACGGAGAGGCCGTAGAGGTCACAGAGGGGGTCGAGGAAGATTTGGTATTAGGAGGGATGGTCTAATGAAGTTTGAGAAGGACTTTGACTTCGAAAGTGCAAATGCACAATTCAACAAGGAGGAAATTGATAGAGAATTTCATAATAAACTTAAACTAAAAGGTAAACCAGTTTTTGTTTTATATTTGTCCATGGAAAAACTGTCTTCCTGTTTTAATCCTATCTTGAAGAGCAAGTTGTAAAAGACATATCCTATGAAGTCTTCTTTGCAGTTCTTAACAACAAAAAGAAAGTAAACCGGGATCATCTGTTTAATTAAATATTTGCATCAATATTTGAGTTTTGAGGGAATTTTAACTAGCAAATATACATCATTATCTAACAAGTCTGTTGGTTAAAAATTAAGATTACTTGAGCAGAAGTCCCAACAGTGTTTACTTTTGAGCTCTGAAAAAGATGCAATAAAAGAGAACTTGTCTTTGTTTTCAATTATTAATAGACCAAAAGCAGTCACAAAAACATGAGTTTGGGATCAAAACTTTTGCTGGAGGACGCACAAGAGTTTCAATGTAAGGAAGTTTCTACCATTTATTTTGCTTTTACCCTTTTCCAAGGAGAAACAGGCATAATTTGAGAAACATACTTGCCAGCATGTTTGTCTTAATTTTTCCTAGCGGGCTTCTATTTTAATTACTCCTTTCTCTTGTAACCGGCCACCTGTTCGTTACAGTGCTGCTACTATTTTTGGACAAAATTCTTATAGGTTAAAATAGGGAGTTCCCTGTTTCAGTAAATGACTTCTAAAAAACAGTAAACAAAAGGTAGGAATAAATGGTCAGATTTCAGTATAGGAAAAACACTAGTGGAGTCCCTAGGATTTGTTCTCTGGTGCTTGCTTCTTTCTGGATCACTTTTAAAAGAGTTGACAGTTTGCTGTTGATACTATGTATTTATTTTTTTCTTACTCTTCAGAATAATAAAGAGGAAATTGAAAGCAAACCGTAAAGAGCTATAGAAATATTTTATGAGGCAGAATGGTAATTGTGTGTGTGTTGTGGAGAGGTTAAGATGGCTATCTGAATTTTATGCATAGCATTATGAGGTGTAAATTTGTAAGCATTTAGGAATGAGACTTTAAGCTTGCAGTAGCTAGTTCTGCTGAACCACCAGCTTCCTTTTCAGTGCCAGTCAAAACAGTAAGCTGAACTTCAGGCATTATTAGGAAACAAATATATCATAAAGTCAGTTTATGGCAAAGCTTGAATGCTTGCCCTGTGTCTCAAAGGAGGTAATGGCAAAGGCAGAAAACAAAAGAGAAGGGCAACAAGGATGAGCAAAAACATTAATGGCTTTTGTGAGGAATGACTGAGGCTTTTAAATCTGGAAAAGAGGTAGCTGGGATGATAGAAAATAGATAGCTATTAAATCCATTCTACCACAGGGTATTTTTTTTGTTGGTGGTGGTTTTGAGGGAGGTGTGTGTGTTTTGTTGCTGGTTTTTGTTTGCAGTTTTTTGTGTTTTCTGGTTGTTTAGTTTCTTGTGGGTTTGTTTTTTTTTGTGTGTGTGTTTTTTTTTTGTTGGGGGGGTGTTTGGTTTTTGTTTTGTTTGGTTTTGTTTGGTTTGTTTGCTTTAATTAAACCCGCATCGAATATAGAGGATATCAAACCTTCAGACAGCAGCAGCTAAACATCCTAATTTGTGTCAAATTACTTGACTTTCCCATTAAATTTTGGAGGGGGTTTTGTAGTTTTGAGCATTCAGTATAGTTACTGTCTGTCTGTGAATAAGTTAATAGTGCTGTTTGGTTTAGTATGATAGTCTGGAAAGCTTCTGCTTAATTTTTATTTTCCAGAAGATAAACTTGAAAAACCAGAGAAGCCTGTAAATGGAGAAGACAAAGGTGACTCAGGTGTTAATAACCAAAATAGTGAAGGGAATGCAGATGAGGAAGATCCACTTGGCCCCAACTGCTACTATGACAAAACCAAATCCTTCTTTGACAACATCTCCTGTGATGACAATAGGTATGGCCTATTAATAGGTAAAGGGAAGCTTGTTAGTCTATTTAATGCATGTTTATGTTGCAAGGTAGTGTCAGCACTACTTGTTACAATCGGCTCTGATCCAAAAGCAAGTAAAACCTATTTCCACATGCAGTGGGCAAAAGAAATGGGAATACCAAGCACAAAATTTCTTTGTAGGCAAGTGCAGTGCAATAATAGGAAAATATTTTAAAATATAGGAAAAAATATTTAAAAAATTGGAAAATATTTGTCATGCCTTAAGCCTAGCCACAAAGCTTTCTCTCCCCCCCTACCCCTTCCTCCCCCTTGCTCCTGGAGGGGTGGGGAGGAGAATCGAAAGAATGTAACTCCCATGGGTTGAGATAAGAACAGTCCAGTAATTAAGGTATAACACAAACCACTGCTGCTACCAGCAATAATAATAAGGGATATAACAAGGGAAGAGAATACAACCGCCCGCTGACCGAGCAGTGATCTAGCCCTTCTGGGTAACTGCCCCCAGTTTTACATCCTGGGCATGACGTGCTGTGGTATGGAATACCTTTTTGGCTAGTTTGTGTCAGGTGTCCTATCTCTGCTTACTCCTGGCTTCCCCTCTTCCCTGGCAAAGCATGAGAAAGTCCTTGGTCACAGTAAACATTACTGAGCAACAACTGAAAACATCGGTGTTATCAGTGCTGTTCTCAGGCTGAAAGTGAAAACCACAGCACTGCACCAGCTACTAAGAAGGAGAAAAATGACTGCTACTGCTGAACCCAGGACATGTTGTTTTAGAGCCACGCTTCTGTAACTTAGTGCCCATACTCTAGAATCTCCTTTACAGATTTGCTGAAATAGGTGTTGTGTTTTGTTTTATTTTGCTACTAAGTTACCACTTTAATCAGTTATGACTCTGTTTTCGTAATGGTTTCTAAGTAGATCACACAACTGTCTTGGCCAGTTGTGGTATTTGAATGGGAAGATAGCATTTTGGGAAAATTAAAGATTATCTTTTGCTGTTGTCTGTCTTATTATCAGACAAGATGATGTGTATTGTTGACCTATTGTGAATTATGGGGTGGGGGGTGTTGTGCTGACATTTAGATAAACTAACACCTGTAACTCCAAACTCTTATTTTCTGTTTCTTCTTTTAAATTGCAGACAGATTTTTAAAATTTAACTATATGATTATGTATGCAGATTGTGTCTTTTTATATGGGGAAACTTGCAGCATGATTAATATATAAATTGTGGTACTGTAACATCTGTTTTCATTGAATGAAATTAATTGTGGCAGATACCTAGATTCTTGCAGAAGGGATAATGAAGATTTACAGTGGGATTGATGTATCATTTTTTATGTCATTGGTTTTCTGGTGATTCTAAGCCAGGCAGTCCTCCTTCTGAAGTGTGTTTTAAAATGATCCTTGTTCCTTTTGTGTGGCAGAGAACGGCAACCCACTTGGGTTGAGGAAAGAAGGCTAAATGCAGAGACTTTTGGGATACCACTACGTCCCAATCGTGGCCGTGGAGGGTGCAGAGGCAGAGGGGTGATTGGCTTCCGAGGTGGAAGAGGACGAGGAGGTGGAAGAGGTGGCTTCACTGCCCCTCGAGGATTCCGTGGTGGATTCAGAGGAGGTCGTGGAGGCAGGGAGTTTGCCAACTTTGAATATAGGGTAAAATATATTTAATGTTACTATGACCTATTCAACTGTTCTTGGAAACTAGTAGTAAACAAAAACAAACAAAAAAGGCAAAAAACCCCAAACAAAACAAACTCCTCTTAAATTTTATATTGAACTAAAACTTCTTGAATAGTATCTTGCAAGTAAATTTTCCAGTTTACATTGGAAACAATGTAAATTCTCCTCTATACAAAAGCTCATGGATCATACATATGATCTCAGTCAGCAGAGCTCAGTTGCTTGGAAAGCCAAAATTGTTTAACAGTTTCAGTGCAAGCCATTTTTCTTGGCATCAAGTGCATATATTCAACTGGAACATTGGCTTGTGAGGCAATAGCAATAATACTGACAACCTGTTCAGAATTGGTAGCAAATGTAATTACCCATATTGGTGCAAGGAAATGTAGGCTTTTACAACTCTGACTGGGGTAGAAGAAATGTCTCTGGTAGTTTACTGCATGAGCAGTTAATTATGTCTGAAGATTTAAATATTTTTAACAAAAACAAAGAAGAGGGAGCTTTTTTTTTTTTTTCATGGCTGAAGATTTGACTCTCCCTCAGTTATTCCTTTGTTAGTTTGCAACAATTAGTCCTGTCATTCAAAGACATTTTTGGTAGCTGAGCATGAATTGAAATGAGGAGTGGAAGATCAAAGATCTGAATTTCTGCATGAAAGGATTTCACAGCCTTCCAGACAACCGGGAGGTGGTGTAAAGACCAAGGGTTTGTGCCACGTGGTTTAGTCCAAGTCAGGAGCTGCTTCAGCATATGCCAGGCGAGGGAGCATTGACCAGACCCTAATCTGGTTGCACAGGGAGGTCTCCTTTTCCATTGTGGAAGACTGGAAGGAGCCATCACAGTTGCATCTTGGCCTAATGCTGTTGTCCAGATTATTTTGTGATTTGTTTTTATTTTTTTCCCCTTAAAATTAACCTTCTACTGTTGTTCCCTCTAGAAAGACAACAAAGTTGCTGCCTAATCTACACAAAAGCTGAAACTGGGTGAATGTCTAGATCTTCCTGATCCAGAGAATTAGCTTCAGTCTCCACAAAGAATGAAGTTAACTTACTGTATACTTGTCACCAGCACTGCGATTTAACTACTTAATTTCAAAGGGGTATAATGCAGTTACTTTTGAAAAATGGCCATCTTTGAAAATAGTGAGCATTAAATATATTTGAGACAAAAGGATGAGTAATTTCTTATGTATAGTTAATTATAAAGCCGTACTTTGATGGAGTTTATTTTTTTCATCCTTAAAAGGATTTTTCTTATTACTAAACTGTTATCTGAAGCAATTATCAAGTTGTAAGGACAATTGTATGCAGAAGGCCGTTGATACTGTGAGTGTTTTGGCCCACTGAAGGTTGGTTTTTGTAAGTCCTGTAATATCCCTTTTGAGATAGTTGTACTTTTATCAACTAGGGGCTGAACAGTACAAAACTTGCTTTGTCAGTCAAATATGTACACAAAGTAAATACTGTTTCTTAGGCAAAGGAACATTTTTATATAGTAAAATTCCATTATATCCCACTGCCATCACAACCTTTGTATAGCTGCATAAAAAGCAACTAATCTTTAAAGAATAAACATTAAGTTGGCAAACCTACTGTGTTATTGCAAAAGTTGATATGCTGAAGAACACTGAATCCATTGGTTGGTTTTTGTGGGTGGGTTCTTTTGTTTGTTTTGTGGCTTTTTTTTTTTTGCTTGGTTTGTTAGCAGCTTTTCAGGCTTCAGTGTTTTGATTTTTATGTTTGGACTCTAATAAAGATGTGAAAACATTCTTCTATCACATGAAGGGAAGAGTGTATCCAATTTCTCTTTTCAAGGTTTGATTTTTGTAGTTTCTGGCATATTGCAGGATTTGACCAAATTAAAGGAAATATTTTGAAATAAGGAGAAAAGGAGAACAGAAATTTTCATATGTCAAATTTGCAGCTAATTTTACTCAGTGATAAATATTAACTTTTTTAATGATGGACCAGGCACATGAGTTGGTGATTCTTCTGGAGTGGCTGGGACTGAAGTATGTCTCCATTTGTCAACAGTGAGCCGTTAACTGTTATAATACCTGTAGACATAAGCAATTTAAAGAATTCTTAGTGTTTGAAGTTGTTTGCATTCTGCTAGGCCATAGCCTGGAGACATCATGACTCTAAGTTTATAATTCTAAGCCTCTGAAGTCACAGCTGATGTAAGATGGACTCTGCCAATTATGAATAACTAGTTATGATGTTTTGATGCACTGGAATAGAAACCTAGTTGTTTGTGTCTGTGTGTATGAAGGCTACAGGAATAAAGGGATATAAAGATTAAAAAGTAATTTGCTGGTTTTGTGGGTTGTTTTTTTTTTTTTTTTCCAAAATGCTCAGTGGTGATAAAATGTGGAAAACTGCACTGTTGGAATATTGGAATATTTCAAAATGGTGATAGAATCTTAATTTTATAGCTTTTGTATAGCACAACAGGGAACTATTTTGTAAATGGCTTCCTTAGTAAGGTCAAATAGAAGTTAGATAATAGTGTTTAGTAATGGTTTTTGCATGTTAACAGCACTGGCTTTTTCTATCCACAGAACATGAATGGGAACAGCTGTGGGGGGTGCTGGATGGCAGAGCCACTGCAGCAATAATTGTATACTATAGGACATGGCTCAGACTTATTTAAAAACCATGTGTTGTAAATACAGGCGCTCGGCCGTGGGGGGGGGAGGAGAATCTGGCCCTTCCGGTGGGGTTCCCTGCAGCTGCCCTGCGCCGCTACACCGAGGCCATATTTCTTTTGTTGTTTTGTTTTTATGTTAAACCCGAATAAAGCGTTTGCTGAAGTCGCGGCTCGGGGCGGTTCCCAGCTTGGGACCGGGCCGTCGGTTCCCGTCAGCCCTTGCACGGGGCGGTGGGGGCAGAGGCATGTCGGTGGTATTTGTGCCGGAGCGTCTGCGCGGGAAGGTGGACGTGAACCAGCAGACGTTACAGTGGGTAATAAATTATCATAGTCCCCTTCCCCCCCCCCCCCGAAAAATTCCCATGTAGTGTAATTCTGAACATAGTCTGGTGGTCAGGACAGCGCTACCAAAGGTATGTTTGGAGGCCCTGTGCAGTCTCATGAAGTAGACTTTCATGACTAAGACTGTACAATAATAGGGAAGCATTTAGCTGGGTAACTTTTACCTCCAACACAACAAAGTCAGTCAATTGTTGCCATAGATGGAAGCAGAAGATTGTTTTGTGCCTTGTATCATAGGAACTTAATAAATTAAAGGTGTTCTTTGTAAATTATATTCTGGATTCATGTAACACCTTAAAAAAGGAGTAGCTCAGTGTTTTTGTAAAGCAGAAATGTTAACGTCTCTAGGAAGGGTGAGACTGTTGCATAATGTGGCAATCAAGCACAAGGGAGAAACGAAGCTTTTATTCCAGTGGGAGAAGTCTGTGTGTTTGCCCTACTTGTGTCGTGACTTTTCCTTTTTGCTTGAAATGCTCTGTACTGCAGACTCTAAACAAGTAAACTTTTGCAGTAGAGTCATCCACTTTCCTGGGTGTTTGTCAGCAATTACAGTCTGCTGTACACTTGGGTCCTCTGACCCAGAATGAGCATAGCCTGCACACCTCAGATACTGTATTTCAGTGGCATGATTGATATAGCCTTATTAGGAGTTAGGGGAAGTTTACAATTTGCTCACTACCATCAGTTATTTACACTGTGATTCCTAAAAAATTCAAGTAAGTTGGTATGCTAATGTTCATCAGCACTGCATGTTCAAAGGCACTGCTAAGGTATTTTCTGTATCATGTTCTTCAGTGCATTCTACTTGGAAAAGTAGCCTTAAAGATGCTTTAAATTGTACAGTGCATAAAGTTCAGCTTTATACAATGAGTCAGTAAGTACGCAGTTGACAATTTTCAAACTTAAATAATGCCATGTTAATGAAATAAGATCTTTGTTTACAAACCGAAGTTATACTTTAAGGTGCTGTTCATTTTCAGCAAAGTGCATATTTTAAACAGGTATGTCCTGTTAAATGTATATCTTTATTAAAGCAAATAGTTTGCTTTTACAGAAGCCTTAAAATACAAAAAGCATTAACTATTCACAAGAAGTACTGCAATAAGGGTAAGCTAACTGAGTACCAAACCCTTGCACTTGGCAGTGTAAATGAAGTTTAATGGCAAAAATAATTTGCCAAGTGCAACAATTCTTAAAATTACCTGTGTTCAGAAGGATGGAAGCAAAGGCCAGAGTAGAACCAACGCGGTCAAACTGCACAGACTTGCTTTGTTTTCACAATTCACTTTGATGCAGAGGGTTGACCAATGTACAGGGGGGTTGTACAGGGGGGTTGGAGGAATTCGATTGCTTAAGCAAAGGTATAGTCTGTACCTATCATGCCTACTAAGCAGAACAAAAGCACTAGCTATTGATAAGGAAAAGCAGACACCTGGTTCTATTAACAAGGAAAAGCAGACACCTGATTCTACTGATAAGCACCTATTGATAGGGAAAAGCAGACCCCTGAATCTACTGTTAAGGGGGAGAAGCAGATGGTTGATGGCTGGGACCAAACCCTAAGGACATACGTGAAGACTAAAAGGTGAAAAGTTCAAGAAGAGGAAGACTCATTTATTTCACCTTGAAGACCCCTACCTATGACCAGAGGGGGCACTGCGCAGGCGCAAAGGACCTTCTAGCTCACTGTAATACGAAGCGGGGATAGGACATGAATATGTATAGGCGTATGGTGCAACCTTATAAATGTAGAGGGAAACAACACTGGGGCACGCATGACTTTTGGAGGACCAGTCCCCCGTGCGTCTTCAGCTGAATAAAGCATACCTACTTTACAACTTTAACGAAGTTGTGGAGTTTATTCCGCTATCAATTTGGCGAGCCAGGCAGGAGATCTCTGTCGACTGCAGGACCGGCTGGGAGACGGATATCCTGGGCGCCCCAGGCCGCTTGCCTGGAGGAGCTCCACTTCTCGTCCGCTCACTGCGGGGACAGACAAAAACCTGTGCCGGCTGTGGAAAAACGGTATGCTTGAAATTTATTTTAGTAATTTTGGAGGTCTATAAGTCGTACGCTTGACCCGGGGCTGCTGGTAAGGCGCGCAGAGACGTCTGGCGCACAGCGTAGTTCCCCTTGGTAGGTAGGGCTTGCAAACGGACTCGCCGACCAACAGAGCGGCCGCTAGCGACCCTGGTGGTGGGTCGGGTGAGTTCAGAAACTCGCCAGCAGGGGCTGCCGTAAACTAAGCGAGTTCCAGGTTTTGGCTGCATCTCAGATTTCGGGAGCCAAGAGGAGGGTAAGCGAAACCGCTGTGTGAATGTATGGGATGCCGTGTGTACCCTTGTATGACTGAGACGTGGCATAGCTACGAAGCGAGTGCGGAGTCCTAATCCGCGGTTCCGTATTCTCCGCGAGGAGAGCGGCCAGAGACGGACGAAGTGTTTATGTTTCCTGTCTGTTGTCTTGTGTGTCTTGTTTGTAAGTAAAGGTAGTTTAAAATTAGGGGAGGGAGCAACTGCCCCTCCTATGTTGGCTAGCTTCACGCCAGACACCAAGAAAAAATCCTATGTGTGCCTTGTGGGAGTGAAGTGTACGGTGGTATTGTGGGAGTGTAACTGTATGTGACGGTGGCATTCCGCGTGGGTAACTTGTGGGAGTTGAGTGGATGTGACGGTGGTATTGTGGCTGTGTGCCTTGTGGGAGTTAAGTGGACGTAACGGTGGTATTGTGGCTGTGTGCCTTGTGTGGGAGCGTGGCTGCATTTCACGTGGATATTGTGGCTGTGTGACTGTAACAGTATGTGGTGACAACGTGTCTACTGCAAAGTTTGTTTTTTTGTTATTTTAGTCACACAAAATTCCAGTGGGCTAGATACTGTTCTGGATAATCAGAAATTTCTGGTTGGCCATTTCTTGGAACTAAGATAAGTGGATTGATCTGTGGTGGAGCCACAGAGTCCTGAGGAGTTCTCGGGAAGTGAGAAAAACCTGAGAATGTGTTTGTAAAAGTATCAAAGAAGTTTGAGGAGACGTGATTACAAAGGAGAAAGTAAAATGGGAATAAACCAAAGTAAAGAAATATTAAGAAAGAGCCCCTTAGGGTGTATTTTGGTAAATTGGAAAGAAATTACAGGGCCCGAGGGCTCAGAAAATAAGAAAACCCTGATTAAGTACTGTAACCAATGGTGGCCTTTATATACTTTGGAAGATCAGGAGAAATGGCCTAAAAATGGAACTCTGAATTATAATACGTTGTTACAATGAATGTTGGTTTTGAGGTTGCCATGAAAATGGGATTAAGTGCTGTATACAGATATGTTTTTCACTGTGGGAGATCACCCGGAGTGGCAGGCAGAATGTGAAATTAATATAGCTCTGCCAGATCCCTAATTCTGGCTCTGGAAAAGGACAAGGAAAAACTGGAAGCTAAGCTGGAGAGATGTTGTTTGGCCTGGGATATTGGGGAATGATGTTTGAAAGTTATAAATAGGAAAATTATGTATCACATACCTCTGAGAGAAGCACCCTCTGTATCTGTCCTATCAGATATTGATAAGGAGGAGGAGATTGCTGTCACCTGCGACAAGCAGCACATTCACATTCAGAGTTAAGAAAGGGTTAAACCAGAAGTGCTGTTGCAGCGGCAGGCATCTGAAACCTGAAAGGAGGGGAGCTCGCGCAGCTCCTGTGCTGTTTGATCACGGGATGGGTGCTGGGGCAGACAAACAAGTGGGAACAGACATGTCGACAGACGGGACTGAGGGGTTGTCGAATAAATGTGGACAGAAGTGCTTTGAAACCGATGGAGGAGGAATGTCGAGCAAAGGTGGGGGAAGTGGATTCTTCTTCTATGGGACCGGATCAGTGTGTGTGTGCTGTGGGGAGTTTTGAACGTTGGAAGGGAGACTGCCCTGCGGGGTAGGGAGTGCCATGGGGTGGCTTCGGTGGCTGAATTGGAACTAGGCTGACAAGGGACCTGGGGAATCTACCCTAGCAGATCCACTGGTTACATTCAATCTATGGACTAGAGGAAATAAAGTGGAATTTAGGTGGATACAGGAGCAACTTATTCGGCGTTAAATCAGAGGGAAAAGAATTTGTTACAGATGTGGGAGCTACTGGCCACCAAGAAAAAAAAAAAAAAAAAAAGTGCAAAACGACACAACCCTTGAGGTACAAATTGGGATAACAAATAGGAATGCATAAAATTTTTATGCATGCTGAATTCTCCGAAATCTTCATTAGGGCAAGAAGCAACATTTAAAGAAGGCAAAATGGAATTAAGAGTTAAAAATCAATTAATTGCAGTTTTGAGTAT